ACAGTTTTGCAAGCTTAACTTGAAACGCTTTTGGGCAGGGGAGGAAGGTTTTGATTGGCGGGCGATACCTTTCCACTCTTCTACCCCCTGCAAAAATCCGATCTTTCCAGCTAGCATGCCCAAATCACTAGTCCCTCTTGAAGAGCTTGGCTCAGCGTAATCACAACACTGCTGTTAGGACAAAGCAACACCCTCCGGCAGACACGGGAAAGCCGTACCTATTGTGGATGAAGAAACCAGTTGACAAAATTGAGCAACTCCTTTGCCAATGCATCTGAAGGCTGACTTCTGGCTCTGTGGTCTCCTCCAATGCTCAATTCTCTGCCCTCCTCCCTTCCTCTGTTTTAGAGGCAAAAACCAGCTCTAACACATTCCTCATATCTTTTGGGCATCCCTCACTCTCCTCTGCTCCCCTTGCCCAATTAAGAGCTGCATTTGTGGGGGTCTTTCCATGTTTGCCGAAACCTGTATAGTTAACTCCCCCTTTCGCCTGTGCAAGAGGGCATGCCTATGCACACACGGTGTGTGTTTGTGCACACATTTGTGTGTACATACAAGATAGAGGGGGATAACTGCAAGAGCATGAATGCCGCAGAAGTCAACAAGATAGGAGCTTGTCCAAGCCTGATTAATGCCAGAACTTCCTCCCGGCTCCCCTCAGCTCATCCATAATTCATTGCCGTCTCTAGTAGACGACGCATCCGGATGGATTGCGCTCCAGGAAGGGGCAGCCTTTCCACTGCATGCAGACTTGGCAGCTCACCCGCTCATCTCTGCATGCTTTGCCTGGCAGGGTCGCGTGAGGAACTGAGGACTAACCAGCACTATTGGGTCAAGGGCCATAAGAGCAGTGGGAAGACTGGGCAGTGATTGTTACTGGGGTTTTCAAAGCAAGTTCTGGGAAATCCGATGCCCAACTGAACTTCAATGCCATTTCAGTGCCTAACTCCCTTAGGCGTCCAGGGAACACTCCACTCTGCTTCCATTACAGGAGCACCTGGAGTCATCCACATAGAATCACAGAAAATGAGGGTTTGAAGGGACATCAGGCAGTCATCTAGGCCAACCCCCCTGCTCCAAGCAGGACCATCCCTAATTATATCATCCCAGCCAAGGCTTTGTTGAGTCAGGTCTTAAAAACCTCCAAGGCTGGTGATTCCACCACCTCTCTAGGTGACCCGTTCCAGTGCTTCACCACCCTCCTCCAGAGAGAGTTTTTCCTACTATCCAACCTAAACTTCCCTTGCTGCAACTTGAGCCCATTGCACCTTGTTCTGTCGGCTGCCCCCACCGAGAACAGTCCAGCTCCCTCCTCTTTGCAACCCCCCTGCAGGGAGCTGAAGGCTGCTATTAAATCCCCTCTCAGTCTTCAGTCTCCTCTTCTGCAGATTAAATAAGCCCACTTCCCTCAGCCTCTCCCCACAAGTCATGTGCCCCAGTACCCTAACCATTGCCATGGCCTTCCACTGGACTCTCCAACATCCTTTCTGTAGTAGGGGGCCTGCCTAAATCTGTACACAGGACTCCAGCTGCGTCCTCACCAGTGCAGAACAGAGGGGAAGAATCACTTCCCTCGATCTGCTGGCAACACTCCTACTAACACAGCCCAATATGTTGTTAGCCTCTTGGCAATAAGAGCACACTGTTGACTCATACCCAACTTATTGTCCACTGTAACCCCCAGGTCCTTGTCTGCAGAGCTGCTGCTTAGCCAGTTGGTCCCAAGCCTGTAGCGGTGCAGGACTTTGTACTTGTCCTTGCTGAACCTCATGAGACTCACAGGATCGGGGCTCCATTGTGCCCCAGCCACAACAAAGAAGGTCTCTGTGCCAATGCACTTATGGTCTAGGCACGGTCTCTGCTAATGGGCAAGTTCTACTCCCTGTATGCCTAGCCACCCTCCCTAAGCTCCCATCGACATTATTTGTATTACAAAAGCCCTGCCAGGTCCTGTACCACCTAACAAAAGAGATGCCCCGAGCCCCCAGAAGAGTCCCTAGAAAGCTCTTCTGATCAGTCCCATACTAAACTTCCTCCCCTGGCTCTCGCCCTGCAACACAGGCACTTGGTGCTGTGCAATGAGACACAAGCCAAACAGAAACTGAGCTCAATGGGGCGTGCAGATCATGCCTCCACTCGGTCTGGAAGCGGGTGTTGAACACAACACGATGCAGTCCAGATGCAGGTGATTATCGTGTGCTCTCAACTCATGGCTGGGGTACAAACAGGCTCACATGCCTCTTCTGTGGACCAGCCGCTGAAGGGAGACAGAGACCCACGTGCGGAGAGGACAGGTGTGCACTGTTAATCCGGCACTGGGATTCTGCGGTATAGATACCAGGTTCCTCCCACTCATAGCTGGAGGGAGTCCAAGGAGCAGCAGGCAGAAAAGTGCACAGGGTCACTCTCGCACACATAGTTCCTCAGACATGCCCATCCATAACCTACACTCCAGGCCTCTCGCCTCACACTCAGTCAGCAAAGCAGCAGGCCTGAAAGGAACTGGATATACACAATCACTCACTACACCCGGTGCTTAACCTCAGGGTAACGAAAATCAATGGGATACAGTTACACCTGGCTGCAAGCTAGACAGGCAAGACACGCCAGGTCAGAGAGGTTAGGAGATAGCATTGTATCAGAACGATCCCAGCAATCCAGCGCAATACAGCTTCTGCCTGGTAAGGACCTCACAATGGCTGGATGCAAATCCCAAACCATATGCACATCGACTAATAAGGTCAGCCTTGGCTTCCTGAGCAAGACAAGACAGTTCAGCGCACAGGAAAGGGAGAGCGAGCTTGGAGAAGCAGCCAGTAGCACAGTAACAAGAAGCAATGCAAGCGATCTACTCGTAACCTCATTACACGCTAAAATGGGAGAAAATTTGGAGAGCGAATTTCCTGCCACCTTAAACAATTGCTCCTTGTAGCACCTCACTGTACGACGTGGAGAGACCTTTCCTCTAACCGCCACCTAGGAGGTGGCTCAAGTAGCAACTCAGATTGACCTCAATATAATCATGCTTCAAAATATCCCCAGACAACGCATTGCATCAAAACCTATCATCATGGCACTGCAATTTAGAATAGGATGAGGAGTTTCAAAACAATGCGGAAGCAAGACCAAAAAAAGAAGAGGAAGAAGATAGAGGGCAGACGGTTAAGCATCTTACAGCAGAGTCCCAGAGGGCTGCAAGGGAAGAAAAGAGAGTGATCAAGAAGCACAGTACAAGAGGTTGCTTGAGCCAGCCAGGGATCCTTCACTGCATGGGAATCCAGTGCCAGCGAAGGCAACAGAAAGGAGCACCAATTGCAAGCATCAGGTTAGACATACAGTGGAAATTAGGAGGGGTAAGGAGGAGTCAGATAGGGGTTTAACTTTATTTGTGTTCCTGCCTTTATCAGAAGCAGAAATCCTGCTAACAACCCCCGGGACTAGTGGAAGCCAACCTTTTTGGAAGGCATGCCTCAAATTAATCCCCACACCCTCCCTGAGTGCCACTCCAATCACCTTCCCCTATCCGATCTGCTGCTCTGCTTTCTGCTCCCTGCCCCCCCTGCTGCTGTGCTGCCCGCCTCTCCCAGATTTGTTGGATGCCACATGCAAGGGGCAATGAGTAGTGGCAATTTTTACCCAATCTGAAAGTGCTCCACAGCTGTGACCACACAAGTGCATGACTGCAGAATGCTTTAACAGGGCCGGATCCTGCGACAATGTGAACTCTCATTACATGAGGGTTCAGATGAAGGTGCTTCAACGCAGAGCACCTTCATTAACTTGTGTCTGCTCCAGATGCCCTTCTCAGAAGGTGGGGGAAGGGAGCAGAGGGAGCTTGTTCTGGGGGTTTACAAGACCAATAACGCAGCTGTGATGCTGAAGAACTATACCCTAGTGATCTTACTCATCTTTTGGCCACAGCTGGAATCAATGGAAGTTTGGCCTGCTAAGGACTGAAGCGATAACACAAGGATGATTGTATTAGGAGTCCTGTCATCAAGATCAGTGTGAGATTCGCCTAGGTACAGCCATGGAAAAGTGACAGGAATTGTGTGCACAGTGCTGCTACTTTGTTCCCTAAAATCCTCCTCCTTCACCTAGAGATCTTAGCGCATCCAAAATGGTGCTTCAAGGGTAGAGGAAGCACCAAATGACCCAGAAAACTGAAGTAAAATTCCTGAGGCGGCATCCTTAAGTTTGGAGGGGCTCTGAGCACCCGTGGCTTCAGCTGAGGTCGATGCACTCAGCCAGGGTTTCTGGAAATCCAAGTCGGTACATGCATGGCAGCGGCAGGAGCAGAACTCAGGAGTCCTGGGTGCTTATTTGACTGGGTCTGGCATTTAAGTGGCCCCTGATTTTGGGTGCCTTGCTATTGAGGTCCTTAGGCAGCTTCCTCAACATAGTGTCTGAGCATCTGCAAATCTGTACACTAGCCTTCACAGCACCCATTTGGGGTAGGGGAATGCTATAATTCCCATTTTACAGAGTAGGGAACTGAGGTGCAGAGATTCAGCATCTTCCCCAAAGTCACAGGGAAGGCTGTGCCAGAGTCAGCAACCACAGCCAGAACGCTTCAGGCCCAGTCTGCCTTAGCCACTAAACCCCTTCATCTCCCCACTTCCGAGACTGGAGGCTGAATTTAACTCCTGGTTGCTGACTTGGATCAGCCAGAAACCTCCCCCTTGTTTCTTCTCCCCCTTGAGCCAGCAAACTCCTTACCTGAATGAAGAACTTGGTAATCGGATGCCTCGCCTGCAGCAGGTTCAGAAGCGCGCACCGGAGAGCTGCAATTGTGCCTAGTCCAGTCTCAGAAAGGATGTTTCAACCTCCTGCAGGGCTGGGCAGAGAGAAGGGCTATTTCCTGTTCCTCATATGCGGTTTTCAGATTCCAGCCTGTGGTCCTGGACAGAAGAAACTTCCAACAACTAGCGGGCAGGATGACCTACAGCGTCTGAGCCCCTGGACCAAAGAGACTCCAGCAAGCCGCAGCCCCCAGCATTGAGCCTCAGCCAGTCAATCAAAGCATCTGCCTGAACGCGGTAAAGACCCACGTCTGTCCTTATTACAATCACAGCCTTACACCTCATCACCGCTCTTGCCGTAATGCTGTGATATTTCACACGCGATTTCACCAGCTGCTTCTCAAGGCACTTGGGAGTCAACACTCCTGCTCTGCTTTGGATATTTGCTAGTGAGCCACTTTCTCCTCCCTTGATTCTCCTCCCTGCTATCCTGAAGCTGCTGTGACCCCACTCAGAGTTTGGATTCCGTATCCGTGGCTTTCGGTGTTGCTGGAAGCATCCAGCTGACCCCTGCATTATGCATTTGCAAGAGGAAGAAAGGGAACTGAACATGCAAAGTAACTATGGAAAAGTGAAGGGCTGTGCAGCAGGTCTGTGGGATGCTTAAATTAATACGCTCGGCTTTAAATGAAAGCGAACTGATGGGTGGCATCACCCCGGCTCCTGGCATGTATCCAGAACCCAGTCCAGTCACTTCCTCCCTGCCGCTTTCCTCCTTCACTGACCCATCTAAGAGGCTGTGACCCATATTCTACCTCTTTTCCTGCCTGGCCTCCACAAGTGTTTAATGTGATCCAGTTACTTGCACCCATGCCAACGTGCCTACCACCACAGGCTGGTAGAAGCCGCCAGGTTACCCGCGAAGCCTTTGTTACAGGTGCCGAGGCAGGGGATGGAAAGTGCCCGGCTCAGCTTGCCAATCCCCAGGAGAACCAGAAAGCTGAAAGGAGGCAAAATGATCTTCTTGCTTGTAACCTGAGCACATTTGATATGGAAATTGCCGAGGGAGGACGAATGTGGAGTCTCACCTCAAGCCAGCTTCACAGTGTCATCTTGCAGACAGTGACAGCCTGATTTAAATAACTAAAATAACAGCTTCATTCATGAGGCCACGCACTCTGGAGGCCTTCACCAAGCTCTGCAGATAACGAAAACAGCTGGCACTCACAAAGAAGCTGCTGCCAGTGTGGTGCCGCGCCTCCCCCGCCCAACTTTTCGGTACCTGGAGGCTCTTTTGGGAATCCCATACAATAGAATTCTTTGCACTTCTCTTGCACACCCCTCCAAGGGGCTGAAAGTGTCTCTCAGAAGAGGTCTGTGTGATTATCCCCATTTTGCAGACTGGGAAACTGAGGCACAGACCTTCCCTAAGGTGGCCTAGTGGGTAGGGGCAGACCTGGGACTAGAAATCCCACCCCAGAGCTCTCCGTGCCAAGCCAGCTGCTTCCTTAAACAAGCGCATTGAGCCTCACAACCCCTACAATAAGGTTACACGCCAGAACAGGAATATTTCACCTCCCAAAACTTTAGTGCTAAGCAACAGCCACACAAAGCTGTCAGGGTAGAATAATGAAGGGACAAACGAACTGCCCCTCTATCCCCAAAATGTCCATCTATCCAGGGCCTTGAGCCTAGGGAAGTGCTGGAGAGAGTCGTACTCTGCAGGGAACAGACAAAAAACTGCGCGTTGGTTGAGTGTTGGCATGAGACCCCTCCAAACATGTATGGCTTTTCTGCTTGAGCTAAAAAGAGGGAGCTCCCCTTGGCATCTGTCTGGCCCCAGTCTGGGCACTCACTAAACTGTATTACCAGACTTCTGTATTACTCATCTTCATCCATGGTTCTCGTCTTGGCTCAAGGAAGGATGGCCATTAGGGGCACCCAAACCTTGCCTTCAGCTGGATGTAAACCTCCAAGGACCCAAACCAGGGCACTACCTATTTGTCTTCGTCACCATCAAGGCTAAAGCCCTTGTTCTGCCAACTTCCCCCCACCCTCCCCATGCATTTGGTGCAAAACTTTACATTGCAGTAGATTAATGACCTTAGCAAAATGTAATTACACAACAGGGCTCTGCTCTTAATAACTGCGTATTTTACTTGTCAATGTGCCTTAATTGAAAATGAGTAGGCGATACAAGTTGCAGTGGAGTTGGCTGGCAAGCCTTTAACGCTGTATTAATTGTAGTAATTAGCAGTCACTTTATGTTGGAGTCATCTATAAATAGGGGGTCCATTAGTTTAGCAGAAGAGCGTGATTTAAAATGCAAATAAAATCCCAATTATGCACATAAATCATTCTTCCCCCCTCCCCACCCCAACACCTGAAATTTACAGTCAGAGGAGGCCTGCAGTGATCCCGGGGGGGGGCTGCAGTTTGGAAAGGAAGTGAGTTGGGTCCTGGGTCATCCAGTCACCATCTGAGATCGCCACCATGCCCAGAGGAGGCCGTGAACCACAGGGTGGCTCGCCCCTAAGCTGCCTCTCATTGATGCTCCTGTCTCCTGTCATTAGCCTTCTTTCATCTATCTTCTGGTCAACTCCTGTCTCACTTTTCACACCCACGCCATTGCAGCATCCTTTCTGGGCCCACAGGCTTCTGAATGATAGGCGGGCAGGTACCCCATGGCAGCCACTCAAGGCGATAGCCCCAGGGATCACAACCCCTTAGGTGGCCCGTGGGCCAAGTCTGGCTTGCAAAGAGCTTGGATCCAGCCCACAAAGGTATGATGGGTGGGGAGAAGAGAAGGCGCTGATTTAAAGCAGCCACTTAAAGCTTCCTGCTCAGTGTACCCACCACCAAATTTGCTGTCCCTTGTTCGTGTTCACCGTGGCTTTCAGTGGCACGTGGGGAGGCGAAGGGGGCACAGAGCAGGGAGGGGCTCAGAGCAGCAGGAGACTGATGGCACAGGCTGGAAACCCGCGATGGTGGCTGCGGCACAAGTGCTCGGCCCGACACTCTTAAAAGATTGCTTACCCCTACTCCAAGCCATGCTAGACAACAGAAACCCCATCACCCACCACAAGTAGCTTCCTGCTTCTTCCTCTCCTGAAGATGCTGGTAGTTAAAAGTGCAGGGGGGGCAGCATTTCAGAGCCTGCTGGACCTGAAAGGGAGATGGCATTGCTGCTTCTTGTGGTAGCTTCTGTCCCATCTTAAAACCCCAGCTTTGGGAGTCATGGGACTACGTGAGGATCACAACTCCTTTTATCTTCAGTGCTGGGAGGGTAGGAGCAACCCCAGCTTGCACGGATCACTGTGGGGAGGAGGCAGTTCTGAAGGGAACCAGGGTTTCACGAGGCACCAGGGGCAGCTGGAGATTGCTGCACCAGACAGGGCCTGGCAAGGGGCAAGCTTCTACCTAATGCTGCAAGGGGAGGAATGTGAATGAGCCCATGGTCCTCACAAGCGAGCAACAGAGAGAAGCACAGGGCTCCATGCATTATTACATAGGAAGCCGGCAGTGTGTCCTGGGAGACATTCATCATTGCAAAGCCAAACAATCTTGATATTTGCAGCCGCTCTACAAGACACAACAGGTAAGTTAATCTTGCCCTGGCAGCTGTTTGCTTTTGCCGGCTCACTGGACTCCCCTGAGCCAAGAACAGCTTTCTCTAGCCTCAGGGATGCTGCTGATGTCTCAGAGCAAGAGGCCTGGGCTCAAGGGATGCACATATTCTGATCCCATGCGGTAGCGTGACAGCCTCTGGTGCACACATACCCCAAAGTGGAGACTCAGGGTTGGGTTGGGAGGCGCATTCAGTCAGCGTTAAGGTATATTGGCTGAACTGCAGGAATAGCCAGCATGGAGCTGGGATAGGAAAGGGCACTGCCGGTCAAGGCAAACTGTGCAGGATAAGCGTGGCTCAGAACTAGAACGAGAGTAGGCTGCAGGCCTAGGGGAAGGGCCCTGGTGCAGCTAATGTCCGGGCTGTACCAGGTCAGAGCACCACCCAGGGCTGGCGCAGGCATCCACAGTGGAGAAGCATTGTGGAGACCTGTATCTGGACGCCAATTGCTCAGACATTCATGAGCAAGCTGACTAGGCATAGTCATGCTGAAGCTCAAGATGGAAGAGAAGGGACCATTACAGGTCACGCTTGAGATGCACTGGCAGTGCTGCAGACAGAGACCCAGCGGCAAAATACCAAGGGCTGCAAGAAGGCTGGGCTGCACGGTGCTGGCAAGGCCTTCCCCGATTGGAACGGCAGTGATGGGAGCTGGAGATGGAGCCGGCCTGCCGTGTGCTGGCAAAGGGTCGGGGAATGAGAGGCCGTCACAGCGCACTCTGTCTTGCGGAGCTGCGTGTGTCTGAAGAGGTTAGTAGTGGCAGGTCCTGACTGAGGGACGTTGCAGAGCTGTGCACTGCTGCTTCATGGCTCCCGAGGGGAAAGTCATCCCTCTGCTTCTTCCTGGAACAAATGCTTCAAAGAGGCAAATGGATCCTTCTCTCCCTGGCTCTCAAGCCACGGGATCCAATACCCAGCTCTCAACAGCTGCCCCCTGGACAAGCTCCTCACAACACAGGGACCACATGGGAGTAATATTGTTATAGCACTGCTAATCCATAAATCTCAAAGAGCTCAAGGAAGGAAGACAACAGCATTACCCCATTTCACAGACAGGGAGACTGTGGCACAGAGAAAGTGACTCACCCCAGGCCCCTCAGGGGGCCAGTGGCAGAGCTTAGGTAGGACTTGTGTCTCCTGACTTCTGGTCCATCCCTCCTCCATCAGGCCAGGACACGGTGTGCACATCTGCTGATACAGACTGCCAACATCACCAGGCAGGAAACCCTTGGGTAATCCCACATTAGACATCCCCAGCACTCCCTGTGATAACAGCTCTTTAATAACATGCTGTGCTTATTTGATTAAAAAAAAAAAAAAAAACCTTATTACTTTATTAGCACAGAATTGTATTAAATTACAGATTGTACTACCAGGGGCAAAATAACCCACTGGTATAGTAAACCCTGCAGAAGGTTTTGCCAATTTGACAGTCCTGGTTATGATGAAAGAAGTTATTATATATATATATATA